TTCACAGTTTTGGTCGAGGCACTCTTGCTCATCATAACTATGTACTTAGTTAGTTTATCTAATACCTAGGAGCAGAGAAGAAGATTTTCAAAGAATTCATGCCTATATAATCATAATACCAGAACCCCTGACCCTACATGGGGCCATAAAATTCACGGGCGTATAATCATAACTATGTACTTAGTTAGTTTTCTAATACCTAGGACAAGAAGAAGATTTTCATTTGTATTTTCAAGTTGTGCCAAGATATTATCTGGCGGCCGCCATTATTATCATTTAATACTGCCTGCTTTGCAAGTTCTAACAAAGTGGGTGAAGGCGGCCGCCAGAAAATTGGGACACATTTTAATATGTACCGGCCGTATGTCATTGATATAACCTAAATGGCGGCCGCCAAATATTTTTCGGCCGCCATGCAGTTACCTGAATATATCCGGCCGCTACAATTAAACGGCCGCCAAAAATGTCGGCTCACTGCTAACTTTGTGTGGTTCAGTGTTAAAATTAATAGCAACATCAACAACCAAACTTAAAGATTTTTTATGTTTCTAATAGATATGTTTTGCATAGCTTTATTTGATTTGAATTATGAAGTATTTGTAACGATTATTACATTAAATCATGGTGTTTGCTGTAAGTCATGATTGAGAATGATAAAGTTTTGCATTTTGGATTTCAAAGTGTTCCAATATTTCAGAATTCGTTTTTTATCATTTTCCTTTGTGTCATTTCAATGAATAACACTCACATTTTGCTTTTTTATTTAAATTCTAATTTACACTTGAACATTCAGTATAGATGAAGAAATAAAAAAAAAATGTTAAGTAATTGATGTGGTACATGTATCAGTAATAATATATAAGGATATTATTACGTTTAGAATAAAATATTAAGAAATAAACCCTTTTCTCAGAGGCTGTTCATCCCCAATGAAAATGCCCAATTATCACAATTAACACCACTTTTCAAGAAAAAATGTCTCCCAATTAACAGTTAGTACTTAATTAATAGCACAGGTCTTTAGACCACTTAGAAAAAAATTGAGGTGTAAAAAAAAAATAAAGGTATAGAACTCTTTTCATAGGGTACCTGCTTTTGCCAATAAAATTCTTTTAAATCAAATGTTTACAATTTTACTTTTTATCCATATCTATTATTCAGATAGCAATCTTCATTACTACCAAAGTTCATTCCGTAATTCCATATATTTCTCGAGATATTTTGAAATTAATCCCAAAATTGACTTTAATTTTTTGACTCTACATCAGCTTGAGCCTTTGAAGAGCTACACAATTGTTACAGGTGAATTTATTCCTCAAATGCATATTTGCTCAGACAACTCACCAAACGTCACTAACAACATTTTAGCGGTCTAATTGTTTTTTAAAATCGGAAGGTATATCATACATAATTCCGGGAAAAAATTTGTTCAACCATAGCTTCTTTTACATTCATATAATCAACATGGCAGTGCAATTGTTGATGTAGATGTTTTCAAATTAAATTAATTTCTCGCGAAAGGAACTATTACGGACTTAACATGCTTAAACATGTTAAACTTACAATCTGGAGTAAGAAATCAACTTTAAAATGATGAAAGATTTTGCAAATACTATGCAACTCTTCACTGCACTTCAAACACAGTCTGTTTACATGTGAATGACCAGGGGCCCAAGCTAATTTTGAGATCAGGGTCCTCCGCTCTATTGGTACATCTGACACAAATCGTCCACTGAATATATAAAAACCTTTGATGGAAATTAAAAAAATATCAGTAATGTTTAGATAAAATCATGCATGTGAAATTGTCGGGAAACTAAAACAGATCACCGAGTGCAGTTCTCTGCATAGATCTGCTTTTGATGCAATTAATCTAATTTCACAATATTTTCCACATAAATACATAATTTTTTTTTTCTCATTAAACACCTTTCACCTCGGAAAACTTCACCTAATACTGCCGTTTAATTGAAACGTATGACCTTGTTCGGATTCATGCACACAGAATTTCTGAAGCAATCTGTATATGCTACCAACAAGTTTCTCTGTTTACCAACAATGATGGATAAACAAAAAAAAGAAGCAAAAAACAAGAAAAAGCATGTTTTTGTTTACATGACCAAAACAGTGGCTTGATATAGTGGTGTCATCTTATTATGATTAAAAAAGGATTTATATTATAAAACACTGTTGTCATAATCTGCATGCTAGTGACAAAGTCTATACAATTATTTATTAGATTTACCATATGAATTTAGGTGAATGCTTGTAAACGGTCGCCGACACTATTGTGAATTAGAGAGAGAGAGAGAGAGAGAATGAAACATTTTCCATAAATTAAAAAAACGGCATATATTTATATAGCACACATTATTAAGTTTCGGTGATATTTCACTTATTTTTATATATCTGTGTAAGAAGAAGGTATGGTTTTAACTTTATTGTGCCCTTAAAATGTTATGACATCAAAAAGTTTTGAAACTGGCTTAAATATTAGTTAAATAAATCATTATGATAAATCAGGAAAGAATATGGCATGAAGGTTTACCATTCGGCAAATATGACGGTGAGCATTTCTCTATTTCAACACTGCCTCAAAATGGCACATTTCAAGGGTGATTTTCTTTAATCCCAAAATTGACATTTAATTTTGTTTCAATAACAAATCACATATCTCAAGATCTTTGAGCCTTGGACAATGTTATCTGAAGAGCTAACAATTGTTAATTAGCATTTAAAAACGCTTGTGAGAAAAATGATTTGTATGATTTTTCTGCATTGAATTTCACTTATTTTAAAAACATAAGTTTTCAACTTTTACACCAGTTTCATTTTTTTAGAAAATCACAGGGCAAAATTTGTATGGAAACCATACCTTCTTCTTTATGATATATTATGTATCATGCGAGGTTTAATTTGATATTAATTTTCCGCAGTCTTTGGCTGTGTTGGCTATATATGTGTACTGTTTTTAATCATATCTTTTAAAGGCACTAACATGCAACTCTTTGTTTTAAACCCAATCCGCACCCCACCCCAATTTTTTTTTTCAAATTCCAAAAGAAAATTCGTTGTACTCTTTTGAAATGCTGCAAATCCATTCAATTTTAAGGCTTCAGAAGTTTTTAAATTCTTTTTTTTAATTCGCATATTTTCAAAGAAATAAATGGACTCATATGCCTATTTCCATACGTGTGTGTGAATCTTTGCTTGAGATTGTGTGTGTGGAGGGGGAGGAGTATAGGGACAAGATTTCCTCTAATTTCCTCATATATTTCTTATGGCGGTGTAATTTCTGTATAAAACTTAAACAATGGGATGGCACATTTTGCGGAGTCAACTTTCACCTAGATGCAAATGTTTTCTAAAGGTATCACCAGTCAAGTAAGAATTTGGAAGTCAGGATTAATGCGCACTGGACAACAGATACCTGTAGAGCTTAGTACATTTCATGATCTGCACCCAAACAGGCGTTTGTTCTGCTTAATATTTTTCTGATCATAATGTTGAAAATATTTGCATCCCCTTCATGTTCATACCCAACACAACAGAATTGTTAATTAAAAATTGAATGTGCATGTAGATCTATGCATTGATATATCTGAATGCTTCTTTTACAAGAGTTCACATAATCAACATGGCAGTGCAATTGTTGATGTAGATGTTTTCAAATTTTCTTAAATGCAAATTTAATATATAATTTCTCGGAAATACAATTGTGAAAATTAATATGGAATTATTACGGACTAATACAAAAGGTGTTGTTGGTATGCAATGAAAAGTCTTTCAATACATATGTGAAGTATGAAGCCCTAACCCTTCAAAAGTTATGACAAAGGATAATTTTTTTTAAAGTAGGCCAAATCAAAATGTCTTTAAAATGATGAAAGGTCTTGTCATAAGGATTTCAATATATAAACACAGTAAAGCTGTTACATGTGATAAAAGTGACCAGGGGCCCAATGCTAATTTTGTGAAGTAAAAAATATATCCCTTACCATTCAAAAGTTATGGTCATTTTTTGGTCAATTGATATCAGACTAGCATATATGACGGTATCTACTATTCAAAAGATATGGCCAACTACCCTTAGGCAAATGTTGGGGTCATGAGACAAACAATCATGTTCATTCCATTTGATTTGAATTGATTTCAGGAATTTCGGAATGAACTTTAATTGGTAGAAATGAAGATTGGTTATCTATGAATAGAATTAAATAGAAATTAGAATTTTAGAGCATTTGATTAAAATATAATTCATTAGTGAAATTGGGTACCCAGTATGAGTTCCATACCTTTATCTTTTTTTACACACACAATTTTTTAAGCCATCTAAAGGCCTGTGATTAATAGCAATTAAACCGAGCAAGTCTTTGACAAACATTCAAATTGGAAAGGAATTCAATACTGACATTAATGAAATATATTGATAAGACTTTCTAATCAACAAAATAAAAAAAAAGAAATGGCTTATATTTCAGTGATAATGTAGACATAGTATATTTACTATAGGGGAACTCAGGGATGTATGGCGAACATGATACAGGGCAAACGAGAATGAAAGAGAACGATTCCTACTTGGACAGACTCATGTGAAAAGACCTGATACCTCCATGTGAGAAGAATAATATAAGGAGATTAGATTCAGTGAATATAATTCCAGTTCAACCATTCTCTTTTCCTTTAAGAATCAATTTTGTTATTGTTTCATCAAACTATATCGATGAGCAAGTGTTGCTGTACCCATAATTAAATATAACCAATAATGGGGACTTAAATACCTAGTATATAGCCCCCTGCCAATAAGAGATAAACAAATTGCATTGCGTAATAAACATCAGATGACGGGAGAAACCGAGATCACTTTTGATGTTTACTAAATTTACAGGTCCTTCAACCTTTAAGTCTGGCAAATTCATAACTTTAAAATAAATTATCTAGTTCATAAACATCTGAATATTAATTCATATTGATAATTAAGAAGGCAAATTGAAACTTACAGCATGAATGATGGATTGGCTGCTAAATATTTACCCTCATTCCTTGGGTAGATCAAACCTGAACGTATTCGGAAGTATTTATCTTACTTATTAAAAATAAATCAAACTCTAATTGTATGAATTTTGCAACCAGGATCATATTGCTGTTACAATCTGATCACAAATCATTAGATAAAAGAAATTTAGATAAATTCAATCTTGTTTTTATTAGATGTAATATGTACGAATAAATGAATGTTTGAAATGACTTGCACCTGCGTTCCGGAAATATTTACAACAAAACAGGAAGCTTTATTTCGCAGTTGACTCACCTGTCGCACCTTTGCAGGTAAATGTTGATTTAGTGATATTTAGAATCAGAATGTTTCTCTTTAATAACATACTTGTATAGTAAGGTTTAATATGAGATCAAATAACAAGATTTTAAGTACTTACTATCTCAAAAAAAAAAATCATAGACATGTTAAACCAGGGACCTATATACTAACTTAGTATATAGGTCCCTGGTTAAACTATGCATATATCAAAGTAATAAAATTACTGAGATCTATGTGATTGTTTATAATAAGGAAAACGCTCTTTACTTCATTTTTTAGAGAAATAGTTGTTTTCTCTGAGACTTTTTATTTGCATGTATATACTTAAGAGAAACAATTGTTGGTTAAGAAAGATTCCCTATCGTTTCACAAGTTTTAATTTTCTTGCTATATAAATTTTATGATTGTGATGAAATATTATCAGATTGGGCAAGGCCTGTCAAATGGTACTTTAACCCAATTTCCAGTCCTGAATTGGAGTCACTATTTACTAACAGTAACTATTTGTGAAAAAAATTGTTTTGTTCAATTCAATGGAATGTCTTGAGATGGTGCATATATTTAACTTAAAGTGGAATGAAATATCTAGAGACATTTATCAATGCTTTGAATGAAAAAAATTAGTAATATACTGTGAAGCCTTCGTCGCCCATTTTTTTACTTATCACCCGTGGGCAAATATCGCCAAAAATCGTCGTATGTAATTAAATATGCATGGGTCATTATAATAAACGTATTTTTCAAAATTGAAGAGTTCCAACTTTCTAATTGGTTGACTAAAAACAACAAATTAGCATATTTTTACCGTGATATTTCAGGAAGTTTACCCACGGGTGATAAGTAAAGACGAGATCACCCGTGGGTTTCCGACGATGCTGTGAAGCATTTTATGTGCAATGTCTTTCAAATATCTGACCAATTTTTCACCTATTTAAACATTAGTGCTATATTAATTTTTATACTTTTAAAAAATTCCTTCCCTTCGAAATGATGTTGCACTTGTTATGAACAAATCTTGCTGGATTTCTGGGACAATCACAACAAGTCATGAAATGAGCATGTAATGTTGCTGATGAAATGCCTTACAAACTTGCAAATGAGACACTATAATTTGCTGTAGACTTTACTTGCATCAGAAGTAGAAATGACAATTATTTCAACTTTCATATATTACAGGAAGTGGGGTCAAACAAAATATATAAATTAGTGTACATGCCTCAGAAATATTATAATTTTTGTCAATAGATGATAAATTTGGGGCTTTTGCACTTTCATATCTATTAATTACTTCTTTTACTTTTTATTAGGAATTTCTTATTACATTGTAGAAGTACGTGCACTCTCATATGTGTCTATTAGTTCTAGATCTCAACTCTTTAGTAGGAATTAGAAGTACATCTATCATTCTAAATTGGATTGCAATCAGCACATATTTGATGAGTACATCTGTAATGGAAATCAAAAGTATTATTATAGTGGCTCTAGGCCATATTAACATATATTATTATGTCTTCTTAAATTCATGTGTAAAACAAATTAAACAATGCACAAAATACTACCTCTTTGAGGTCTGCATGAATCTCCCTCTTGTTAACAGTGAGATCATAATATTTTTTGTTTCAAAACTATGCTCTGTGAATACATAGAAGAATAATTGTACATGTCTGACACTTTTTAATAGTCATACAGAACAAAGAAAACATTTTTAAATTTTTTACTAAAGTAATAGTTAATTAAATTATGATACTCTGAGAAATTTATAATGTTTTAGTTATTCATTTTGTACATTAAAACAGTGTTTGAAAGAAGTTAAAAAATTTGTAGATTAGAATTAGTGTGTATTGAAACCTAAGATTCTAAATAAAGATTTCAAAATTCTTGGAATTAATTGCAACGTCTGATGAGCTTATCAAGTTCTGTACCACTGATTCTTATTGATTTATGATAATTCACTTCCTTGTCTATCTATTACAAATGTTCTAATAAACACAGAGTCTTTTATGTAGTTTTAAACTTAACTTGTTAGTTTTAAATAATTATCATCATGCCTGCTGTTAAAAATTATACTAAAGAGACCCCTTGTTAATTAACTGACAAAATTGTACATGAGCTGTACATGTTTAGTATTCTGAAAGTGCATGTTGCGGGCATGTGAAATGTTGATACAGCTAGGTCACACATCAGATATGGTTTTTGTAGAACCATGGCTTGTTACATTTTAATCCATTTATGTAGATTACTAATGTATGAGGTAATACACAATCTTTATTTTAAGATATACGTAACTTAATTGAATTAGGATTTCTTAACTGGTTTAATATGTAATCCCTGATAAGTATTATAGCAATACTGGCAACTCTCTCTTTTTTTGGCAATGAAGCAAGTTATTGAAGGACAGTTTAAAGCAATTAGTGTGAAACTTTTTTTTTAAAAATACTTCAAGCTGTTCAAGCATGATTTATTGTCATAAAATATTCCTGTGTGTAATATTTTTGGGAGGAGATTTTACTTGGAGATAACTTGTCCTCTAATGTAAGTCACTGAAGCATAGGGTATTTCTTTTCACTTCATTGTTTGAAGTAAATGTCTTCTTCTTTGCCTTTATAGTGAAAGGGTACACTGCAATTTTCAAAGTAACAATTCAGATTTTAATTTGGAAAAAAAGAAAGAAAATGTAACTGCAGCTTCTAATACAGAGAATTTACTCAACTTGTATTTTAAGTATACTTTTTACAACAGGTATGTATTAAATTTTAATTTAAGACTTTATACTTAAAAACATCTGAGATATATTCATATATGACATTTATCAAAGTCAACTTAGTGGAAAATAATAAAGGTTCAGATTGTAAGAGCTTTATACATCAGTAACTCTATTTGATAATTCATTTATACCTCATGTTGGTTAAGAACACAAGGAAAAAATCCTAAGAATATGAATATATTTGAGGTATAATTAAATGTAAAGCTGTCAGAAAAACCCCAAATTAGTTAACCACCAAATATTTCCTGACATTGAATAAATGAAACGCTGGAAATAGTCGATTTCAGTGTGACAGGGTGACAATTCATTCATATTGTAAAAAAAGAAAAGAGCGAAAGTGGATGTCTTGTATGAAAGAGTGCCCGCAATAATAAATCAAATGTGGGTCAAATGGCTGAGGACATTTTAAACATTTTTAAGGTCGTTTGCCTGGCTTTGGAAGTCAAATATGATATTAAAATTTTAGAGAGCATTCAGGCAGGAGATTGCCCATTTTCAGGATGGGTGACTGTGAATTTGTACATACAAAGACTTGTGAATTGTAATGACTTTCCCTGCAGTCTGACAAACATTGTTTATGAGTGAACTGACATACTTTTTGGTGTACATGCAAACCTACCAACTAGATACATGTATCAACTAGATTTTCTAGCATGAAATACCATAAAGTATGCTTAAGGGTGATACTAATTGACACTTATGGTGATTTTCAGACGGCTTGGTGTAAAATGCGGAGGATGGAGTCTCCACAAAACTCCAAAATGGAGGGTCAGAGAGTGCAAGGGGTGGAGCCTCTTGTGTTAGATGATGCAGGAGGTGGAGCATAGTGCTTGTCGTAAATTAAGCACGTGCTTATTAGATCTGTCATCTCATTTTCTGATACTCCGTGAGAACGTGTTAGAGTGTTACATTACCCAAACAATTAAAAAAAATAATTTCATTGAAGTTGAGTGAATGAAACTCAGTTATATCTCCCAACCTGATTTTGTGATGACCATTTGACAGTATCTGATGACATTTGTTTATAAAGTCCATAAAATACAAAATGAGAAACAAAGAAACAGGAAACGGTAATTAAAAAAAAATAATGAACACCACATTTCAACGAGGGGAACAGCTTTGCTGATTATTTAATTTTTAACGATAACAGAGACTGACTGAAACAGAATAGCATCAAAGTTATTATCTTTTGGTGATATTTTATACAGATATATATGAATAGACTGATATTTGTATAAAGGTGTCAATGAATGTCGGCCTCATTACAAAATACCTATTACCATCTGAAATCTGATTGCTGTCGAAGACACTGTCCGATGTTGGAAATGTGCCATGATGTCATTATTCACTCAGAAATATTATCCCATTTTAGAAAAATTAAAAATAATTAAATAATAGATTCAGTAAATTAACTGATTGTTTTATTAGAGAACTCTGGCCATTAACTGTTTTTATTTTATTTTATTTTTTTGCTCTAAAAAGAATGAGAAACAAGCATCATGATAAAGAGACAACAAAATGAGAATCGAAATGACCTACAGATATGAGAAACAAATGAGGGGCATGCAGCCCGTGCTTGTGATTTAAATTTTGTTTTGCGATATCACAGATGCTAAGTGCAATGGAAACTGTCTGATTCACACTGCTATCTCGCAGTAACCCATGAGGTCTTGACAGATTTTATTAGTATAGGTATCAGATATCTGAAGGGCCAAATGTTAAAATTGCTAAGGGCTAGATTACCTAAACTTCTAGGGAAAGATGACAAAAAAATTTTCCCCTCATTTGTTGTTGATATAATTGAAAGTCATGTTATCTTTTTTTTGTGCTAAATTTCATTTTCAGTTGTAATTTAATTGTATCTTCTTTTTGTGGTTTACACATACAGAAGCTTTTGTAGCTTTTACAGCAATTATGAAATATACTTTTTAATTGTTGATAATTTAAAGACAAAGTGATCTGCGATATGTTATGCATGACATAATTATCTGCAATAAAATTTTTGGGACATACCAGTATCTAGACTCAGTAATTAATTCTGACAGGCACTTTTTATCACTGATGGAGAGCTCAACAAGCAACCCAGTTGTATCCAGCTTCTAAAATGATTGAAACATAAAACGGGCAAATGTATGAAAATTGACACAAGAGGCTCCATTGCACTCTCTGACCCTCCATTTTGGAGTTTTGTGGAGACTCTATCCTCCGATTTTACACCAAGCCTTTTCAGACACTATCAATGTATTCAATGACAAGGAAATCTTTAGATAAAAAGTTTTCAGACTGTTTCATAGTGATATTTTGAGCAAACAAATCATTTCAAAATGGTGAATTTTTTTTCATGGCTGTTTTTATCTGGACATACAGGCCAATCAATTTTATTTAACAGAGATTGTACTATGGAAGGAAAAAAATTTCCCTATGAGTTTTAAGACTAGTAATTTTATATTTCCTGCTTTTTTAATTCAAGTTAACAAAGTTGTAATTCAAAGGAGAATTCTCCTGTAGTTTATCTTGAAGTGTTCATTGGCAGATTCAGAAGGGGGACAGGGGACCTTTTCCTTATTTGTAGAAAATTATACATATTTTATTTTAATAACATGAATAAGAAATTCATTGTCATCAGATTTGTCAGCTTCTGTGGGGTATATGGTATCCTCGTCAAGAAAAAAGGATTATATTAAGTTTTTTTACTTTTATGATTTGCAGTTGCTGGAATGAATTTATTAATTACCGGGTAGATTGAAAGAGAGGAAATATTTTAGAAGGGAGAAGGGACTACGGTTACAGTGACAGATCCAGAAATCTTGAAAAGGGGGCCTGACTAGTTTTGGATCAGGATAGGGGTCCACAGCCACACCCCAAAAAAAACATTGATTTATCAAATCTTGTATATTTTTTTGGACACAAAAGGGGGGTCGGGGCCCCCTGGGCCTCTCTCTAAATCCACCAGTGGGTTAAAGACTGAAGTTGGAGGCATGTTAGGGGTGTTGTCCTCTTTAGAAAATAGAAATTATAAAGTGGACAGGTTTTCTCCTACATCCATGGATCATAGACAAAAGCCTGTCCACTATTCTCTATTACGGATTCAGATGGGTGCATGTGTGTCTTTTTAGCATTTCAGATATATATACATATGGTATTACATTCAAACATAAATTAAGATGTCCATCATTTGGGGGTTTACCATTGATGTGAACACATGCCACAATTCATTGTGTAATTATGACAAATGCATTATGTTGTGCATTTGACAACATGGTCTTTTATGAACATAAGATTTATTCACCAACCTGTGCTAATAGCTCTTTTTTTCTGTTATCTAATGTTTTTGTCTTCTTGAAAGATAGTGGGCTGCAATTTGTGAATATACATATAGGAGTTCAGACCCAGATATGGGTGTGGTCATGCAAGTCTTTTAATTTCAGTGTTTACAGTTTCTTGTGTTGTGTTTTATAAATGGATGTTTTAAATGTAAAAGAATTAAGGTACACATATTGGCTTGTTTTTCTGTCTCAACATCAAGTTGTCAACATCACATTTCATTCTGAAAATTGGGGTACATACAATTCGTACAGGTACGTTGGTGACCCCAGGGTGACCTTCAAGTTGTACACTGAAAGTCACATTCTGCAAATGAAGGGCATTTAACGCAAATCCAAAGTGAAAAATGAGATTTATGGGCATGTAACTTAATACCAACAAGAGACAAGGATTAATCAACATAGGTATTTTACTGTGGTTAAAAGACACCTGATAGCTCTTACAAAGGAGGGTGAATTTTAAGCACTAGCTGCCACATCATTAGGTATAGTACCTTATAGTCAAACTTTTCATGAATATTAATTCACATTTATTTCAAGCATCTATAATTGAATTGTTTTAGGTAAACTTTTAATCATAAAAATCTGATATGTCGGAAATTATACATCCTTTTCACCTCGGTTGATACATGTTATTATGATGTAATATATAGGAGTAGTTGTACATGTACTTTCACTTCAACCTAAATCCTTTTTAATTAGGTCACCTGATAACTCAGGTGACCTATTGCAATGTGTATTAATTTTTATGTCATTGTGCGACTTCATTAGTCTTAAAACCTTTGAACATTGTGCATTTACTTTACCTTTGGTGGAAACTTGATGGCAATATTCTAAAAAAAAAATTTTTTTGATGAAATATGAAATTCTGTGAATTCCAATTAGGTATCTAAATTATTGACTGATATGTCAAACTGCACAGGTATTTCAAGAACCAGATGTAGATCCCTATAAAATTTACAGCATAAAGAAATTTCAAGTTTAAAATGATTAATGAATGCTGCACAACTGACAGACCCCCACTTGCTAACTTTGATTCAAACTTCATTTTAAAAGAATTTTGGCATCTGAATTTGTTTGCAGAGTGGCATGAAATTTTTTCATTCAAAGGAAAATTCTTTTGTTGTATAGTTAGTTTATGTGACTAATTGCAGGATTGTATCATGAAAATCTCTTCACTTAAAGTTGAAATTCTTGAATCATAAAGTAAGCTTTATAAATAATTAATGAAGCTCCTTAGATAGAAAATAAATGACATTTGAAAATTCAGCTATATACACACCATATGGATCTATACATACAGAAGAATATATTTGTGAATTATTCATATTTTTTACACATGTACATGTAATTGTTTGGAATAAATTTCACGGTTTGCCCAGGTAGGCAATATTCTTGACAGTTTGCAATAAATTGGTGTCAAGACATCTGTAAGCACAGGAAAGAGTTCTGATGACAGGAGTAATACTTGTTAAAAAATGCAGTCCATAAAAAAGATCTATGTCATGTCTGAGATATATATAGGGAGTAATATATGATATATGTAATTCTTTAAAGTTAGCAAATTACGTTTTACTGCTATCCTTTTAAAACAAAACAATTGAAAAGGAATCTTGAGGTACTCATATTTCAATATATAACCATGGTATTTTGAAAGTTTTAATTTTAGAAGCCAAGACCTATATCTTTCCTTTTAATTTTTTTTGCCTTATATGGAATTGTTTATCATTTCAAACCAAAAAAAAATTTTACAACATATAAATCTTAGCAAAGGTATGTTAAACTTGTCACATCTAATGGACTTCTCTTTTCTGACACAAGGCTGACAGAAAATCCTAAGATTTTAAGGGCTTTCTCTTGTAATTGATAAATGGTCTCTAAAATTCAATGTCCAGTAAGTGACCAGTCCGGCTAATTATGGCCATCTTTGTGACTAATCAGTTGTGTAAATACAAACATCGTAAAAGCCTTGGGGGTTCAACGATTTTCCCTTTCTGATCCGTAATTACAGGTATCATCAGTTTATTTGATCTGGAAATGCAGACTTTGTTTATCTGTTTGAATTTCAATAAGGGATTCACAGTTTTGGGAAGTCAAAACGTTGAAAGCTGAATTTAAATTGTTTGAAATGGGAAATATATACATTCAAATTAATGCGTACACTATTGATTTTTTTTTTCTTTTCAAAGGAGATTTTTACAGAATATATACAAATTCACAATTACTTAGAAACAATACAGACCATTATGAAATAAATATGAAATGTGAAAATCAATCACATTGGAATTATATATTGTTTTATGTTTCTAAGAGCCATTGATTTTGATAAATTGATATGTGTACCAATTTTAATGCTAAATGCTACGGTAAATGCCCATAAGCTGTATGTGTGTACAACAGGTGCACTTTTATACATTATTACTTCTGTATGAAGTGGGGGTTCAAAATAATAAATGGCAATTTATATGAATACTTTCATTAAGTCAACAATTTTATATTGATGCCAAAGGCCAATATGAGATTTTGGACTTTAAGCAGAGTTTAGAGTCAATATTTTGGCATAGGTACTCGGAAACAGGCTTTGACTGTCAAATTTTACATCTAATCTGTTACAAATACAATTGGTCTGGCGTTTCCTTTCAGCGACTTTGAATTGATTTTTCTCTGGTATGTCTATTCACCGGGTATAGATAAGGGGGGCTTTACAATTATAAAAAAAAAATCACCCTGCTGTCAATTCAAGGGGTGTTAATATACATAGACTGCTGACAGTTTTTTTTTACTTTTTTTGAAATGTCGTCTCTTGAGATTTTATTAATTTCTTTTTTGGGGGAGAGAGTTATGAATGCATGCATTTAACAAATATATATGCAAGCTGAGATCATTCACTAACAATAGAAGTTAAATCTTTATGTGATATATTGACTGTGAAGCGTTGAAGGCATTATCTGTATTTTAAAGTTTGTGCAAATATTGTTCGTATAAGCCTCAGGAAAATATATAAGCAAGCATTACATATATAGTTATTAATCATGGGTAGCCACTGGCAGGGAAATACACGCCAGTGATCATTGAGTTCTGGAGGGGGCTGGATCGTCTTAATTTTGTGGTCAGAGGAACTTTTGAGGCGCAGTGTCTTTTAAATACTGAGTTTCCTTTTAATGAGCTGGTATTCTGTGTGTGGCGCTTCCCAAAAAAATTGTGCACTAAGGGATTTTACAGATTTGATACACAAGGAGTCACCTGCCTTTTGTTGTGGTTTGAAGGTTGTATGTCGGATATTACAGTGTATGGAATATTTAAATCCTCCTGGACATGAATACATAAGCCAGACAATAATCCTCTGTGATTTGTAAGTGGTCTGCATGTTGGGATCTTGAAATTTAAAAGATTCTTCGGACAACAAATTTTTAAGGACTGGAGATAAAATTGTTATTTACCATCCAGGTTGACCAAAGAGATAAGGCGTGAATGTACAATGTAGGTATATTTTTAAATCTTCACTAAAAGAAAAACCAAACCCTTCTTTAGAAAAATACATTCCAACCAGATGTCTTCATTGTTTTTATAAGAGTGGCTGTATAAGTGAAAGAGAAGGTGTTCAATGGAATGGAATGACTGATCAAAGGGGTTCTTATCTTTGTTTTTATTGTGACAGATTATGTGATCGAGAGGGGGTGATAGTTACTCTGTCATTATGTAGATCACACCAATCTAACGGTGTCAACAAACCGACAAGAAATCCTGGGCCGCGACCCAGTGTCCATGTGTTTAGAGGGCCCCCACGATATATATACAGTTATACACACTCCACACATACCTGTGTTTGTTGTTTTTACAGGTAACACAGATCATCAATAATCAGATCATGGTGGTTTGATAGCATCACGGAAAAAAGATCGAGAGATCGGGCAGGAGGTCTATACAGTTATGAGAAACATGCTCATCCTACACACGTAAGGAAAAATAAACCCCTGAAGCACAGGACAGGTCTAAAGAAAGAGAGAGTGTACGTACTTTCTAAACCATCACATCTGGTTCATGTTGGAGGATTTAAAAACAGAAGGTGAGTGTACCCCGCCAGTCTCTTATTTTCTGACAGATTACCAGGATAAGATTACCCAGAGATAATTTTTTTTGTATAGGTTTCCTCTTCTATCTGTGTCACTTTGAATAATTAGGAGGGAAAATACTTGGCATTTTTTGGTGTGTTTTGGAGGCTGTTTTATATGAATATTTGATGACTATAGGTCAAGTTTAATGACAAGGAATAATAGTTCACGGTGTTATGTGAAAAGGAACAATTGTGGTATTCTGGGATATTGTATGGTGATCTGAGGTAATCCTTTGGTAAATTGACCATGTTTAGAGGAAAAAGAAATTAGGCTTCTCTGGAATTTTTCAAAGGAGAAATAGTGTGGGACTTTTTTTCCATACATAGAGGTATAATGGGTCATATTGGGTTTCAGCCACAGGTGAGGATAAAAAACAACTAGGTCACAATCGAAATCACAAACATTTAAAAATCATTTTCTTCTATTCAAAGCTGTAGGTACATGAAGATATGTATAAGTAGGTGAAGGTTGGTTGAATTTTTTATGAAAGATTTATGGAGAGGTAATGAAAAAAAACAATGCATTGGTTGTTCACTGTAGGAAGCAATCTTCAATGCTTGCTGAAGCAATCATATGCATAGAAGGGTACTTGAAAAAAATCAATTGGCAATTATATACTTCCAATAAGTAATTATAGGTATATGCTCTCTAAGGATTAATACCTTATTAATGAGAAAATCCTTAATCAGTAGTACTCATTTTTCTTCAAAGTAACATAGGCAAAAAAATCTGTCAAGTCAGCTATATGTTCATCAAGCTTTAATCGATTGTCCTTATTTATTGTATCTCTGAGTTCTGATCATATGCTAAGCTTCTAAGAGATATAAGATACTTAATGATACTTAAAGGGTTTTTCCCTGTTTGCCTCCATTGATTCAAAAGCAGAAAATTCTTCCTTTTCAAAAAAAATAAAGGATTTTTTTCTTTATTTATCAGAATTGTTTCCCGTTAAAGGAGGAAGAAGATACAGAAGAAATTTCCGGTCAGGCAGTTTTATCTCCATGACTATCGATAATTGTCAGCCATATAGTTTTTTTTTCATTATTACAGAGCATACACCTTTAATTCCACTCACTTTAATAACTGTGCAGACACAGCATCGTAGGTCATTAAACTTGGTTTCTAATTAATCTAGACAATAGGTTGACAGTTGATGAGATTTAAAATTAATGAGTGCATGTCCATCAAACCTGCAGGCATGGGTTATGTACATTGCATTGTTAATTTCACACAAGTCCGAAGAAGTGTGTTGTAAATGATTTGAGATGATTCCAAATTATTACACCACAGTGGAAGCCAAAGTGTAAAAGGTCTGGGAAATAGGGATTTTAATCCCGTGGAGAATGTCGATCCTTTGTATTGATGGGATTACCTTAATCTGTTATTCTTCTGAGAAGCCCAGCTTGATATTGTGATCTGTTTTTGTGTAGGACTTCTCTTGTTTTGATGGGTTTTTTAATGCTCTTTAAATTATGAATTATCTGTTCCAAACAAGGGATTGATAGTACCATTCCCTTTTTTTCATGAAAATTACTTGAAGAATGTGCTTAAATTCTTTTTTAACACTTTAAATAATATGGCAGGACTCTCCGAAATAAAATAATACACGATTTTCCTTTTCATGAGAATGGTGCCAAGAATTGTCAAACAAGGTCAGTGATGACATTACCCATTTGCGGGACTATCTTTACACTCAGGGATTTTCTTCAGAAATGTTTAGATAATATAGTTGGGTGAACTTCAGGCACAAAAATGGGATTGCATATCTTTTTTAAAAAGTTATGTAACAATTTACTCAAGGTGTAGTTAAGTGTTACGAATTGTTAAACACCAGACATTGTGCCCATCATGGATGGATTATAAACGACGAAAATCTGAAGTACAGAATGTGTTAGCGTAAATAATACTCAGGGACATATGATAGCTGCACCATATTGTATTGTTGTTGAATTTTGATACCTTGAAGTTTCGATGGAGAATATAACCACCACACAATGATTATCAGTAGAGGATTTTTTTACGCGACTAAATATTCCGCTTACATACATTTTTAATGACAGGCAGTATCATATTTGAAGGGGTAAATCAGTGCTGGGACGGACTAATTAATACAGGCTAAATACTGCAGTGTTGATAAAATAATCAAGGTGTCAAGTGGTGAATGCTCTGTGTTCCGTCACCCCAGTAATGCACATGACAGAGTAACTGTGTGCTTCAGGGACTATATAGGCCTTGGGATTTATATTGCAGACAGTCCTTTCAGAAATTCAGTTGTGAAGTTTGGTGAGATTTTCTTTTGCAAGTGATTTGACAAGAATCTAAAGACAACTTGACAGAAGTCTAATTGGATTGTAGGTAATTAGCGGGAAAAAATTTGAGAAGAGTTCTATTTTCTGTTATTGGAAGATGTGACATAAAAATGTTTTATTATATGAAGTTTCAGTGGTGACTCATTGTCATATGCATTTTATGTCTTTTAATTTTGATTTACATGTACTATTATAATTATTTTTTGTGGATGAGGATCTTCAGAGAATAAACTAGTTTATTTTTCAAAGTGTTGAAGTGTGGAAAAATGACCTAAGTTATTTGTGTAGCATAAAAGATTTTTGTACAACTTGTGTGTGGTGTATTTGATTATCATATAACCAATTCAATAACCACTCATAAATTATGCATTCAAATCTGCATGCATATTCTTTGTAAGAGTATAAATCTGACTCTTTCACTTCAGGTTTCAGAAGGCCACCAGCCCGGTTTAAGTTGCAATATTATTTTTCTTACCAAAATTAAGTGAAACCAAATATTTTCTTTGCTTATTTTTTTTGTTTTGTTTTCCAGGATGTGCTACAACAGACCGACCACTGAATTAACTAGTGCCAAGCCAGGATAGATTGGTATATATATAGAGTGTCATCTAACCTCACAAAAAGTGTTTTTTGGAAGTCAGGCCAGAAATGGCAGAACTTAAGGTGAGAGTGGATGGCGTTTCGCGAGTGGTTTGCGGTGTCACGGAAACCACCAGTTGTCAGGATGTGGTGATAGCCCTGGCCCACGCCATGGGAAGGACGGGTCGGTTCACCTTGATCGAAAAATGGAGGGACAGTGAACGTCCTCTTCTTCCAACAGATTGTCCATTACAAGTTCTCCACAAGTGGGGAGAATATGCAAATGAAGTTCAGCTTTTGTTGCACCAGTCGGACAAAAAGGAACAGGTTTCTCAACAGCAGCAACATCTGAACAAAATTGACCCTGGTCCCGTTCCCACAAAGGAAAAGGATACCGGGATCAGGAGAGTTTTGACATTCAGTGGTGCTCACAATTCCGAAGTGTCAAACCGTCCTCCGTATAAAATTCCTAAACAGCGACAGTACATGGGCAGAATTAGTGAGGACCAACATTCTAGATTAACCAATGAGATTACAAACTCTCAGCAGGGTCAAAGGTCAAGGGAGGATGTGCATTACAAACCCGATAATCAGAACTTTCATCCTGCTTTTCGAGACAAAGAGAATGTGTTAGTGAATGGTGGAAATGTAAATTTTCAGGACGTCAAGAAAGGCTTGAGGCCTGGACAAAATGGAATAGTTCATAGATATCCCACCCCTCCAACTGAACAAGTGCAATCCCAACCCAATGTTGTTCCTAATAACAGAATTGACCATAGAAATCCAAAACGGATGGAAGCGAGGGTTAATCCTATTCAGAGGAATTCACCCAGGACTACGCATAGTGGTGATCAGTCAGCAACAAGTGCATTATTCCCCCCTCATTCAAAACAAAGATATAGTGAGGAGAGTGTTTCTAGGGGAGACCAGGTGAATCGTACCAGGCAGCCCTCTCCTCATATAGACAATGTCAGAGCTTCCGCCTTTCAGCGGGTTGTACCCAACAGACAGACTTCACCTTATCGATCAAAAGAGCCAGAAGTGGTTCCGGATCAAAACGGCGAGGTGGAGGAATATGACTTAGATAGCAACTTCCCCAATCTTCCTAGAGAGAGGGTGATGCTGGAGGAGTACCGAATGCCTGGCGATGGTCACCATGACAACAGCCTCATCGCAACAGATCACAAGGAAAGGGTGAAACTTCAGAGATTGGTCAGCATGCAGCAGGAAAGGTTAAAGATGCAGGAATCCCAGATCTCCATCATAGACACAGGTAATTAATGCAGGAAATATATTGAATATGAGTTAATTAATTCATATGCATGTCCTTTATTAATTAATTCATATGCATGTCCTTTATTAATTAATTTATATGCATGTCCTTTCTTTACACACGAAATTTTATTAAGATATAGAAATGCTCTTTAGCAATATTAATTATTTCCTTGATTCATTTCTGGAGGAAAACCTTAAATTGTACTAATTATGAATTTAAGTGATGTGTGTGGTTCTATTTTAGAACTTAGTTCCTTAGAGGCAAAGCAGAAAGAAGAATCAGAAGAAATCGAGAAAATCACCAGCAAAATTAAAGAACTAGAGGATGTGACCAAAAAGTATGAAGTGGAAATAAGTGAACTAGACTCCACATCTTGGGTGGATATTATAGAAGCGGAGAAGCAAAAAGAGAAGAAAATCCATCTGGAAATTAAGATGATTAAAGACAAAACAACCACAAAAACAACAGAGATAGAAGAACTCAATAGTAGGATTCCTCAGGTTCAGAAAGACATTGAGAAAGAGAAAACAGAAATGGAACAAGAAGCAAAACAGAGGAAGGAGGAGGAAGAAAAAATGGTGGAAGAAATCAAATCAGTGAAAGAAAAGTTGGATGTGGAGAACAAGAAAATAGACACTGATAATTCTGAGCTAGAGACGGTGGAAAACGAGCTTAGAGACCTACAGAACAAGCTAGACCAACAGAAGGAGGAAGTTACCTCCCTTGAGAAACAACTGAAAGATGTGAACCTTAAAGATTTTCAGTTTTCGCCTGGTCCAAAAAGGAAGAACAAGTCTGTGGAATCTGGGGAAGGTAAGATTGATTGAGTTAAATAAATGTTGTAATTAAATCACTCAGAATTCAGTTGCTGTCATGTACTCATTTATAGAATGCTAATAATATTATGTTATGTATATTATATTCAGAGTCACCATTTGTCCCTTTGCAGTTGCATGTATAATCATGTATTTTAGCCATGCAGTAAGGTCAATATAGTAGACAAATGAACAAAACTTGCATAGAGAGAGTTTTTGCTATTTTAGAGTTTTAATTAATATATTACTGTATAATTGTCAAAGTTAGCGTAAATCAAATATGTCTACTTGGTAGACCTATTTTCACCCTTCAAAATCTCTAGAATCAAGTTTCGCCCCGTGGGCCCCCACCAGGGCTTTGGTAGACCTCATTTTAACCCTTAAAATCTCTAGAATCCGCTTCGTTTTAACCAGGGCTTTGCCCTGGACCCACTGGGGGCCTCAAGGGGCCCCCAGACCCCTTGCCTAATTTTGGCGCCCCCCCTAACTCCAAATCCTTCCGCTGTTAATTAATATATTACTAAATATAAATACTGATAACTATTTGTGTTGAAAATCGTTTAAGTAAAATAAAATGTATTCACTTCAGTGAAAATGAGAAAAACAATCTGATTAATAGAGATCTTTGCTATATGCTCCAAAATTCTACAAAAAATTAGATTTGGTGAGATAAATGTCTTGAAACAATGAAATTTTTATAGATAAAATTTTCTTCAGTATAAACATCATTGATAGAACTAGAATACATGTTAGTAGTACTGCACTTTTAAGTTTATCATTATTTTTAGCTAGGTGCATATCACATTAATGTCATGTCTATCACTCACCAGATATTTTTTTCTAATTTTCTCTTGCCCTCCATGCCAATAGTATAGGAAATCAAGGTAAATAACTCTTTGTGTGGCTTGTGGATCTGGTAGAGTTCTCTTTCTTTGAGTTGTTGTGTGTGAATTTACAGGGATATGTTTCAGAAAGAGACAAGAAAATGTCACAAAAAGGCAAAAGACCCTTAGGTTTTTTTTTCAACTATATTTTTCACTATATGTAGTCATTTTCCAAGTAGGTTAATGAGCGTCATGATAGCTATTTAAGCAAATAAAATGAGTGTGTAGTTATTTATAGCATTCATAATTATGTTTTAGTACCAGGGTAGTTGATTGAGTAAACTTACAACATAAATTTAGAGTAGATCTTAGGTGAGCCACCACTGTTTGAATACTAAAACCATGCATTCATTATAATTTTAGCCATTACAGCTATTTACAAATTTGATGGACTGTTAATCATATTTTTCAATATACATTTATAGATATACATATCAAGTAGCATATTTCAGAGAATAATTAAGTTTCCTTGACTTTGTGTGTTACTACTAGTATATATATATTTCAAATTTGTACATATATATATTCAAGACCCTGGCAAAAAAAGGGATACTACTTTATTCTTCTTCAGAATCTTTTTTTTTGTTTTTTGTTTGTTGTTGTTTTTTGTTTTATACAATAATGCAATTTTATTTATTAAAATAGTAGAGTAAATTAGGTGGCCTTAATAGGTGAAGTGAAGTTGTTGGGACAATATATAATGCTTGGCTATAATTTTGTACATATACATTTAAATAAATAATGATGTAAATTTCTCTATTAACAGCTGTTTTGAAGATCCTTGAGGGAAGGATGTCCCCCATCAAGGGCCTCAGTGGAAAGATCACCCCCGTGTTATCTGTAGCCAAAGACCCCGATGGCGTGTGGGTTTGAGAGCAGAAAGTGACCATTGTAACTTTTATCAAACCACTGACAGTTCATTTCAAGTCCTATGATGTTCCATTTCGTAAAACAATTATACCTATTGGTCAAAACATGATATAAAAGATTATTGTGTACATGTAGTTCACATTTGTATGTTTACTGAATTTAATGTGCAAGACATTTGTTTCTTGGCAATTTACCGTTGTACAGTGTACATGTATTGAAGAGCATATTATAGTGATAAAATTTCAAGTTGTTTCCATATTACCATTAAGACTTATTCTTGCCTTTTCTACTTGTCAGTGATTTTTTTTCTCCTTTTTTGCAAGATTAGTTCATTATGATGAGACATTTTCTTGTAAGATTTGACATTTTCTTATTTTGAATAGAACTGAATCTGCCGTTCTATTTATGGATTGTATAATTTTTCAAAATTTTCTATTTTTTACAAAACATTATGGTTGTGAAAATGAGGTCTTTTAATGTGATAATTTTTTATTTTTTCTGTTAATTATTTCATCTCGGTGTCAGCTAGGTTTGTGATATGCTTCTTTCTTCATCAGTTTTTTTAAAGTCAATGCAAGAAAAAATGCATATGAAGATGAGCTAAAAACTGTAAATTATATTGGTTTTCATTTTAAAGAATATGAAAAAAAAAAATTAGGATATGTTGCATACATGTATGTTGTTGAGTTATATTTTTCAAAAAAAAGTTGAAAATTTTAAGATAGATTGAAACTCTGATAAGAGAGATAACTCTCCTTTGGATATATATGCCTTTTAATGAAATTTTCTGGAAAACAGGTGTTGTCCTAAAAGTTCTGCCCACAAGATAAGGTGCAATTTTGTGCATTAATTGAAGTTAGGAGTACATATGAAATTTCTTTTCAATCATGTGGAAGCAAAATTTTATTTTGGAATGAGTAAAGAGAGGGGCAACAAGCCTGAGAGGTTGATCATAATTATTCATTAAAAATTTTATATTGTTACTACATTTCATGCTCCATCATATAAAGTTGTATATTTAAATTTCTATTTTTGGTACATTGTTTTTCTATATTGATCAAATAGCATGAAAAGTGTAAACATCTCAAGAAGAAGAAATTGATGTTCATATAAATGCCTGCATTACTATTGTTCATTACAAAATATCAATGTCACACCAAGTAGTTTTTTGCGGGCTATATCAGGTATAGTTGATTTATTGTTCTGCAGCGAAATAATGTGTTCAGATATCCATACATTCCTCCTTAATCCCAGTTTATGTAAACCAAAGACTCGTAATTTTTTTTGCCGACACTATATGTGCAGTGGTATCGTAAAATAGGAAATGATTTGTTGTTGATCGTAAATACTTCTATAGTGTGGGTGATCATTGTTTTTCGTCTCTCCTTACCACATTTTTCATTCTTTTTCTGTCTATTCTTTGTTCCTATTCAATTATTGAATGAAAGCATTTCAGTACACGTATGTATTTATTACTTGTGGATATGTCATTTCCTTATAGTTGTTTATTTTTGTGTGTGTATGTGAAGGTTAATACTCAGAAACACATTGTATAGGGAAAAAAGAGAGGTTTATCATAGAAAAGGTTATATTTTCTTCGATTGTCTATGAATATTTTTTTTTCTATAACTATATTTATCACATATCATGTATATTCATTCCTACTTACATACGCCCTTAATATTGGGAGAATTTTTACTTCTTTTTTTTTTCTTGTAACTAATCAGGAAAATCTGGGAAATTGTCACTTTCTTTTGTTTTTGAGAAACATCAGAGACAAACTGGTATCATATATTTTATTTTTGATATTTTCTTAATCATGACTCAAATATTAATTATGTAACATTCCAGTTTTTAACATTCCAGTGTTTCATTTTTTTTTTTTTTGAACCAATTTCAACCAAATTTGGCACAAAGCATCTATGGGGAAACAAAAATTATGATTTCTTCAAAAACTGAATTTTGTTTTCCTGTCAGATAAACTGTAATTGTAATCATCATTGAGTCCTCTACCAAAATTGTGAAATAGGATCATATATAGTGAAAATGCATTATTTCTTTGATTCATTTACAAAAATTATTTTGCCCCAGGGTAGGTTTTTTGTTTTCAGATTATATAGCGAAAATTCATGAATTCTTTGAAAATCTTCTTCTCTGCTCCTGGGTATTAATAATTTTATTGCTCTACGAAAATTGTGAATTTTATGGCGCTAGGGCCAGGGGTTCTGGTGTTAGGGCGGGGCTCTATTGATTATATAGTGAAAATACATGAATTTTATGAAAATCTTCTTCTCTGCTCCTGGGTATTAAATAAACTAACTAAGTGCATAGTTATGATGAACAAGAGTGCCTCTATTGTGAATTTTGTGGCCCCACTGGTGTAATGTCTATTGATAGTCTTCTTCTCTGCTTGGGTATTAAATAAACTTGCATAGTTATGATGAAATCTGAAATGGCCCTATAAATGTTAATATATATAGTGAAAATATAATTTTATGAAAATCGTGCTCCTGGGTATTAAATAAACTAACTAAGTGCATAGTTATGATGAACAAGAGTGCCTCTAAAAATTTTTTTGTGGCTTTCTGGTCTTTGTTATATAGCGGAAATGTTTTGTTTTATAAACTAAGTGCATAGTTATGATCATTTATTGTGAATTTTGAGAGAAATATAATGAAAATACATGAATTCTTTGAAAGAATTTCTTTTCTGCTCCTAGGAATTAAATAAACTAACTAAGTGCATAGTTATGATGAACAAAATTTTGATTTTATGGCCCTAGGGTTGGGGTTCTATTGATAAAATATTGAAAATACATTAAAACTTTGAAAATTTTCTTCTCTGCTCCTGGGTATTAAGCAGATGAACTACCTATGTAGTTATAATGAGCAGGGACCCTGAGAATTGTGAATTTCAAGGCCCCAGGGTCAGGGGTACCATAGGGGGGGGTGTTCTTATATACTGAAACTGGATGAATGTTTGAGATCTGCTCCTTGGTATTAATCAAATATTTTTGAAAAGCAAGGGTGCCTTTTCAAAAAATTGTGCAATGTGTGGATCTAAGCCTAAGGGTCAGGGGTTCATGTGTGATAGGGGCATTACTGATTATTGCTGAATGTTACTGATTACTTGAAATGCATTTTTTGTTCCCCAACCCAGCTTATGGGTATTAAGTAAACAAACTAAGCGACTGGTTAGTGTATTGTTATGATGATCAATGGTGCCTCTTTCAAAATTGTGAACGCCATAGCATCTGGCTTAAAACATGAATCAAATTAAATCACTGGAAAGTTGTTGCATAATGCTCAGGTGACCTATAAGGCCCATGGGCCTCTTGTTGGTTTTTTTTTTTTGTTTTTTTTTTTTTTTTTTTATAGATTGGTATTTCATTTCTTCAACTGAATTTTGTTTTCCTGTAGATATGTAAAGGAAAGGATCATAATCATTTATTAGTTTTGAAAAAAAAAATATTTTGCTAGGTTTTTGTTTTCAGGGTAATTTCAAAATAATTTTATTGTTCTAAAATCAAATTTTGTTTTAAGTAGCTAAATTTGACATACTCCATATACAATGTATATAGTATTTTAAAATTGAAACCGAAATCTGAAATGATAAATAATATATACATGAATATAATGAAGTGTTTGTAATTTAGATTATAAGTAATTTTTCTTTCATCTTTGTATTTGTTTTGTTTTTATGCATCTTGATCATTTATAGAATGAGAAATCAGAATCTTGCCCCCAGAAACATTAAGGTTGTGAGAAAAAGAAATTGTTGTTTTTGTTGACATTCCTGAATTATATTGTTACCATGGATACTGTATTGTTATAAAAATGAAATATGTAAATATAAACTGTTACAATCCAATTGTTCTGTTTGATTTGTTTTTCAAAAGGAAGGTATAAAGATTTAATGAATGTACAGACTAGAGGCCATAATGCATTGACTAATTATATTACAATTTTTTTTTGTGTCACTTCCCATTCAGGGCAGATATTTTTAATCAAAACAGAAGCCTTTGTTCATTTCAAATATTTCGTAACTTTTATTTTTGTTTTCATTGGGGGCAGTCATTCGTGAAGCTTGAAAAGAAGATTAGGATAAGTGGATATTCTTAACTTCCGGGGAGGAAGTTATTAATAAGATTTAAAGATATTCAAGAATTGATGAGGATGAAATATACTTGTATTTCAAGTGTAAGAATTATATTACACACAAAAGGGGCATTGCTTGTGAGGGCCTTGAAATTTATTTTAATGAGCCATGTAGGTAGATTTCTGACAATACATTACTGGGTATTTGCATACATGTAAAAACTTTAATTTACCTCCCTTTGAAATTTTTAATTCAAAATATTGAACTGAAATTAAAATTTCAGAATTTTTTTTTAATTTATGAAGCCCCAGAGTTCGTTGTAAATAATAACCAAATAAAAAATAAAAATTCACCTGTATTTTATACTGGAATTTTCCTTGATACTACATGTAGTAAATGCCATTGATTATCGTGTATTTGTAATTTATAGAACTTGAGTACATGCTTTTGTTTGGTATGAAATGAACATTATAAATGATGAGAGAACAAAAATTTATTATAGAAATCTCCATTTATTTGTGATAAAAAGACGAGAACCTACAATAAAAAAATTACACACCACTGAAGACGAAATTTGAAAACGGCAGACTTTTCGACGTGCATCCGTTAGAACTATTTCCTAATTAAGAAATACGGGTTTTTATGCGTCGTTTTTGGCATAGCTGCTTCAGATAATGAGATTTTTTTCCTTCTGTTCAATTTTGGATTTCATAGTACTAAGTTTAATCATGTGATGATTTATAAAAATCCCGAATAATCCTCATCAAAATACATTTCCTCAGGTGGCATGCACTGTGTGTAGATTTCAAGCTGTAAAAGACGACAAAACAAAAACTTTTCAACCAAACAATAGAAGATAGAAACGAATTTAAACAATAATATTTAGAAACAATCTTTTGTTTTGCAGAAAGTATTTATATGTTTTGTATTTGGCTTGTTGTGAAAATGGAATATTTAAACTGTTAAAGTCATTTAACAAACAATTAAATATTACAAAAAGTACATATAGTACTCACATCGTCAATATCTCCTTCAAAATCATCTAAGTTCTCGCCATGTCCAATTTGTAGCGCACACGGTCTAGACTGAATTTTTCCTTTTAAAAAAATATCAGGATAATTTCTCACGCATATTATTAACACATGAAAACACGTTTAAGGTATATATTTTTTTAATCTATAAGATTTTGAAGTCTTGTTACATGTTTTCAAATAGGTCCGTGTTTTGATTAACATATAATCTTACCTCCACCCGGAATCCATCTGGTGACTTGCTCATTATTCACTGAACCCTGAAGACGGCCAAGGTTGTATGAATATTTCACATTTTTCCATTCAGTGTTCTATTTAAGATAAAAAGACAATGTTCAACTTGAAACACTTGCTGATAACATCATTCAACTTCTTAATTGAAATACTAATATTACAATGGAATTTCAAAATTTTATATTATTCCTTAAAGCTTGAAAAAATAAAGTCTTCCTTGTTAAAATAAGTCAATCCTACCGGTTTCGGAATTTCTATTTGAGTGTAGTCCCCCTTTTCAGTATGGGCGCCAAACATGATGCGATCCTTGTCTTTTGCAATTAGAATAGATGCATTATTCCCACAATCTGCGTTACTAATAATAGCCTGTGGACGCCCGGAACTATTAGTGGAGTCCCGGAAACGGATCCTGAGCATGAC